TATAGGAGCGAGAGGAATGTCATCGAGAGATGACCGGAGCGAAGAAGGTATAAGAGAGTATCAGAGATAGATGGATAGACGCAATAGAGGGAACAGAAAAATGGAAAGAGATAAAAAATAGAGTGAGGAACGCAGTTGGAAAAAAAAGATAAGGCAAGAAAAAGAATAGAAAAAAGCTGGTGGAGTGAAGAATGTAGGATAAAAAGGGCTAGGGTGATGGCGGAGTTAAATAAGGTAAGAAAAAGGGGAAGGAAATAGAGGTAAATACCTTGAAGCAAAAAGAGAATACAGAGAGGACATAAGAAAAACGAAAGAAGCTGAGGGAAAAAGCGTGGCAGAAGAAATAAGAAAAGATAAGACGAGAAGAAAATTCTGGGATAAAGTGAATTGCAATAGAAAGAAAAGAATTAGATTAGATGAAAATACAGGAAAAGAAGATTGATTAAAGCACTTCAAGAAGCAACTGGGAAAGAAAGAAAAGGAAGAAATCAAAGGGGAAAAACCCGAAGATAGCGAAGGAGAGGAAGGTGAAGAAATCAAAGAAAGAGAAGTAAAAAAGGTAATAAAAAAAATGCGAAAAGAAAATGGCGACAGCAGAAGATGGTATAGCAAATGAAGCGTGGATGGAAGGCATGGAAGGCTTGTTAAAAGAAATGACAAAATGCTTAAACGGAATATGGAACGGAGAAGGATATCAGGAAGAATGGAGGAAGGGAATAATAGTACCAATATATATAGTAAGAAAGGGAGGAAAGAAGAAGTAGGAAACTATAGAGGAATAACGCTGATTGATACGGGATATAAAATATATGCGGAAATACTGAAGTGACAGCTGGAAAGAAACGCTAAGCGAGACGCAGATGGGATTCAGGAAGAAAAAAGGAACAATGGACGTAATATATATATATTAAAAACAATAATAGGGAAGGAAATAAGGGAAAAAGGAGGAAAACTGTTTGTATTCTTTGACGATATGAAACCCGCTATAGACAAGATAAAGATGAAAAAAATATGGGAAACAATGAAAGAGAAAAGGATAAATAGAAAAATTAGGAAAAGAATAGAAGAAATATATAAGATAACAGGAAGTAATGTTAAAGTTGGAGGAGAAATAATTGGGAAGTTTGAGATTTACAAAGGAAATATGGACATTAGGATATGCAGATGATATAGTGATGATGGCAATGAGTGAAAGTGGAATGAAATCAATGCTGAAAAAATTAAAAAGATATCTAGAAGAAGTGGGATTAGAGCTAAATATAGGAAAATCAAAGATGATGAAATGCAGGAGAGGAGGAGGAAGGGGGAAGAAAAAAGAATTTGCAGGGGAAGGTGAGAAGATAGAAATAGGTCAAGAGTACAACTACTTGGGATATGTCATAAGCAGAAATAATGGAAATAAAAAGCAGTTGAAGAAGGTAAAAAGGAAAATAAATATGGAACTCGGAAGACTATGGGAATAGGAGAAAAGCTATTTAGAGAAAATTAGGAGCTAAGGATGAACCTGTTCGACGCACTGGCGAAAAGCCTGATTAAGTATGGAGCAGAAATCTGGGGATGGAAGAGATATGAAGAAATAGAGAAATTACAATTAAAATACATAAAGTGGGTATTGGGATTAGATAGGAACACGCCCAGTTACTTAATACGATGGGAAACAGGAAGACAAGAAATGAAAGCAACAAGATTAGAAAGAGCAATGAGGTATGAAAACAAAATAAGAGAAGAAAGAGATGGCTCAATAGAAAAAGAAGCATGGAGAGAACTAATGAAAAGGGAAAGAAATGAAAAAGATAAAAAGGGTAACAAGGAGGAGAGAGAGGAAAGGCTAGAAAAAAATAACATATACAGAGAGAGGGAAGAGGGAGAAAAAATGAGAGAAGAGTTTTGGGAAGAAATAAGCGAAAAGCTAAAGATAAAAGAAGAAAAAGAACTAGAAAAAAAGCTAGAAAAGTCAAGATACATAAAGTGGAAAGAACACACGAGTGGAAAGAACTGAAATAAAAAATGAAAAAGTATAGAGTAAGGAAAATTCAAGAAGAGGGAAGAATAAAATGCCTACAAATAAGGGAAAGGTTTAGGTTAGGTGATGAAACGAGAGGAAGCAGGTATTCGGAAAAAGAAGAAAATAAGAGATGTAGAATGTGTATGAAAGAGGAAGAAAATTGGAAGCACATGGTAGAAAAATGTGAAAAAAGCAAATAGGAAGGGGAAGAATGGGAAAAAATAATAATAGGAAGCAAAGGAAAGATAGCGTGGATGATGGAGCTAAAATGGAAAAGAAGAACAAACAAAGAGGAGAAAGAAAAAGAAAAACAAGAAGTCGAATTTTCAAGACCCTAAGGACAGACAGAATCAGAAGACAGAGACTCAAGACTCGCAGACACATCTACATACGCACACATATACACAAAACACGCACACATACGCAAACATACATATACACATGCCCGCACACACACACAAAACACAAGTACTAGCAACTACACAAGCGAGAGGAAGCAGGTATTTGATGATGGAGTAAAAATGAAAAACAAGAAGAATCGAAGAAAAGAAAGAAAAAGGAAAACAAGAAGAGAAATTATAAGATACTAAGGAAAATAAGTGAGGTTGAGGCAAGGAAAGGCAGAGGGAACAATAGGTAATGAGAAAAAGGTATCAAAGCCCTAATAAGGAGAAAGATGAAATGATTAGCAAGAAAGAGAACAAAAGCAAAGGAAAGGCAAAGGTGAAAAGGCAAAAAAAGTAACAAAGAATGAAGTCGAAAAGAAAATAAACAAGAAAGAGAAAAACAGAAGAGCGGAAAAGGCAGATCTTAGAGAGAGAGAGGAAGAGAAGATTAATCAACAGAAAAATAGGAAGAAAAGCTGAACAGACAGGCGCAGAAGACAGAGGCACAAGAGTTGCAGACACATCTACAAACGTACACATATACATAAAACAAACACACACATACACACACACAAAACACATACATTATGAACTGCACAAATTGGACACGAGACACAAATAGTAATGTAAGAAATAAAAACCAAATGTAACATAAGTTGTAAATAAATAAACTAACTATAATCATCAATGACATTATAAAACAAATAAAAAGAATTAGAGAGAATTATTTTATTATTATAATAAATTTCTTATAATAATAATATTATTATCATTATAAAACAAATATATATAAAACAAATTTTCTCCCTAAATTTAAAACAAAATTGAGTGTTCCTTCATAAATTTTAAGAGATTTTTTTTTTATAAAGCTTTTTTTCTGAACCTCATATTTTTTAAGAAAAACAATGGTAATGAGAAACGAATTTTTTTTCAGGTTTTTGTATTTTATTTATAATTAAAAAAAACGCTTATATATAAATTTTCTGTTAATAATTTTGTGCATTTATGGTTAAAGAAAAATTCGATATGGACGTGTTTTATGTTAAAAATTTGTTAAAAAGAATTTTTCACAATTTTTTTATATAAGATCCGTCATATTTAATTTTGCAAGCAAAATTTTTGAATTTTAAGCCCGTATTCAGTATAGCTAGAAACAAGAGAAACGATACCTTGGATTAATTTATTTTTTTCATTTTACACGTGAATTTTGCAATCAAAAACGTATCTAGAAAATGACAACTATGGTCATTAATAGGTTAATCTTATAATGTAGAAAACCATCTAGAAAAGCTGCATACCTAAATATTGCATAAATATGAAAATAATAAAACTTGAACAAAAAATGTTTTTTTTTCTTACCAGACAATAACGAAACTTTTCGTCAACTCAACAAAAATAGATCTAGTTCAAATAATTCTAATGAAGGCATAAATATGCATCTATTCCATTCAGCTCTTTCAAAATTAGCTAAGTTGACCAAAAGTTAGGACTTTATTATAGACCTATTATAAAATAGATGTAAAATAAATATGCTAGTTGTTACAAAGACCATAGGCATATTACAAATATTTTATTTTTAGGTATTGAAAAATTGGATGTTTTAGCACAGTTTCTTAAATATATGATGTTGTAACGGGGGAGATAATCTGAAAATGGAAAATTTATTTAAGAACAAACTCCCACGATGCAGAGCAAACCGCCGCTCCGTTAAACACGTATGATAATACGTGTATTCGCCTTAACGTCAGATGATTTATCTTAGTTGTCTTCTATCGATCGAAGTTGAACTCACCTTAAGTCACGTGTCTTGTTACACCTGATGAGTTTTAAGTGTCAGCGACTTTACTCCTACTCTTCTTAATCCCCTAGATGTAATTGGATTAAAACCTAAGCCTGTTTCAAATACTTAAGCTACCAGTAAAATCAAATGACGAAAACGGCGAATAAATTTAACAGACTTTAATTAATAAAAAATCACTACAGTCTTTGTTGGGCCGAAAGACTGATGCACGAAAATAGGATTTTACAATTTAATTTTGTTCGGTGAGAAAGAGAGAGAGAGAAGATTCAAATATTACCGCGAACTAACGCTCGGCGCGGTAATAAAAAATATCGCTATCTCGAATTACAAAATACCGAAAGTATTTTGTCTTGCTTAATATGACTGGAGGTGCACCTACCATACGGTGCAATTACGGTGATCAGCCGTAATTGTTGTTGTAAAATTTCAACTGCCGCTGCCCCTCAATTATCAGCTGCTCCGCCTTGTATTTCCTCTATCAGCTGTTATCTGCTGCTTCTATACCGCTGCTTGCTGCTGCAATATCGTCGTTGCACACCCGCACGTGTTTGTCCCAGAGAAAACTTATTATTTTTGCGAATCAAAGTGCAAAACACAAATCGGCGGTAAACTCGCGTAAACAGCTGAGACGTAACTGCTTATTCAAAAGATCGCGCGCCCCCTCTCTCTCTCAATAGTTTGACCTAACGCGCGAGAAGCATTAAATAAAGCGAACGAGTCGATTAAATAAATCGACTACCGTTGCAATGTCTAAATTACGTATAATTCATTATTAATAGAAATTCACTATTTGTTTATATACTTTCAGCGAACATTATTTCACCACGGCTTCTTGGATATCAACAACAGAAATTTGTATTACATGGATGAATCGGCATCAAAATTTATCTGTTATAACAATATGCAGAAGCCCTTTATGGAAATGTCAGGTAAGCTATCATTGTCTTACCCTCGTGGATATTTCTATAACTCCATTTTTATTTTAGTTTTCATTATTATTAATAACTAATTTTATAACGGAAAGCAATCACTAAACCGAAACGGTGAATAGCCATTCGTAGAAATTATTATTTGAGTGGCGAATTCGGGAGGCATAAAAGCTTCCAGATTTAAATAGTATACACAGCATGTATATCGCGCACAAAACTAATGTTAGGATGAGAATCGGTGATTAGCGAAATACAGAAACGCTCGCTTAATTGCATGACACAATAATTAAAATAACATCTGTACAGAAGAGCACCTGGTGACATCACTTTAAAAATTGCAAGCTAAGAAATAAGATGGCACATAGCGTGCAATGTCCACAAAAAACATTGGATTACTATGAATCTGCTCCGTAACCTCCTCCCTTTTACTCTTCAATACGCTGTCAACTGTTAAGATTGACACAGGAGCCCACGAATACGATGTCAAAACATGCAAGTCACAGTTCACTCATAACGCTCGAGGAGTTCAGGTGTGCGAATGATCGCTCTCTAAATTTAAAGTGACCGTTAGACAGTGAAAGTAAACAGACACAGTAAACAAACATAGTGCATTTAGATCGAAATAAAATAAAATCATACAGACAAACAATAACATTGGCATAGCCGTCATGGCTACAATTAAAGAAAAGGTGCAGATCATATCTGTGAAAAATTCGGAAGAACCAAAAATGATATAACAACCTGGACACCTGTACAACAAAAGCATGCAAGGAGTAGCCCAGAAGAAAACAAAATAACAAAAAAGAGACAAACACATATCAAAGACTACTGCCTAGGTAGCAGTATAAAACCAATAGAAACAACTAATCAATTCGGATTACTAAAAGAAAATGAAACCAGTAATATAGTTAAAATAAACACACAAACAATAGCACCCACAATAAATAAAATATCAAAAGCACCATTTTGTTTTTGAACCACTCATTTTTAAAATAAACAAGCTAATGCAATAAATAGTTAGGTTTGAACTTCCGTACAAAAAAAGAGACATTCCACAATGCATGCGCTGCCAGAAATTTGGCCACACAAAAAATTATTGTCACAGATCTCAAGTCTGTGAAAAGTGCGCAAAGAATCACTTTACCAGCAACTGCCCAATTCAAACAAAAATAGATGAAGTTAAGTGTGCGAATTGCGGTGGGAACCATGTAGCTAGCTATAAAGGTTGCAGTGCAAGAATACTCTTACAACAAAAACTTTTTCCAGCGTTAAGGGCAAAACAAATAACCGAAAACACCGTTAGACCAGATGTTTCATATGCACAGGCTGTAACCGGTAATAAAAACACGACAATTACAGAACCCAAACAAACACCACAACAAACAGTAAATAACACCAATGACAGTCAACTCGTAAACATGATGAGGTAACTAATGAATAGAATGGACACAATGTTAAATCTACTCACCACACTCATAAACAAGATAAAATGAATACAGAAATAAAAATAGCAATTTGGAACGCTAACGGTTTAGCGCAAAGAAACATAGAAGTAAAACCTTTTCTTATAGAAAATAATATTGATATAATGCTAATGTCTGAAACTCACTTCACACATAGAAGCTTTTTCAAACTCCCACGATATACACTATACAGTACAAACCATCCTGACGGCAAAGCTCATGGAGGAACAGCAATACTATTAAAAACAATATAAACTATCATGAAATGGAAGCACATAATAAAGACTATCCACAAGCAACAAGTATCGCAATAAAGGATAATTACGGACCAATAACATTTCCAGCGTTATACTGCCTACCTAGACACAAAATAACGAAAGAACAATACAAAAAATATTTCGACAGCTTAGGAAATCGTTTCCTCGCAGAAGGAGACTACAATGCCAAACATCCATGGTGGGATTCAAGATCAATAACTCCAAATCCAAAAGGAGCAATTTTATTCACAGTAATAAAAGCAGAAAATCTAACAAACAAATTCAACAGCTAAAAAATGGAAAGAGCCCCGGACACGATAATATAAACTTTCCATAAAAGCCGTAAGATACATAACCATCATATTCAACGCAATATTTCGATTACATTATTTTCCTGCAATATGGAAAATAGCAACAATAATTCTTCTACATAAACCGGATAAACCGCCTTAACATACCACATCTTACAGGTCAATTAGTCTATTACCAGCACTTTCAAAAAGTTGCGAAAAATAATCATTAAAAGACTGAACAAAACACTACAAGAGCAAAATAAAATACCAGAGCATCAATTCGGATTTCGTAAAAATCATGCTACAATAGAACAAATAAATAGAGTTACAACACAGATAAGAAATACTTTTGAAAAAAATGAATACTGTAATGCAGTATTTCTTGATGTAGCTCAAGCATTCGATAAAGTCTGGCACGAGACAAACTAGATAAAGTCGTACCAGAAGAACTATACCTATTACTAAAATCATACTTAAGTTCTAGAACATTTAAAGTAAAAGTAAAAAACGAAATAGCAGAACGTTATCCAATAAAAGCCGGCATTGTCCCCAAGGCAGTGTTCTAGGCCCCATATAATTTACACACACGATCTTCCGACCATGGAAAACATTAATATTGCCACTTATGTAGATGATACAGCTATATTAACAACACACACTAATGCAGCGACCGCCTCTAATAATATGCAAAACTATTTAAATAAAGCTACGCTCTGGTTTAACAAATGGAGAATAAAAGTTAATGAAACAAAATCAATCCAAGTAACTTACACACTTAAAAAAGAGACTTACCCTACAGTGCACATAAACAAACAATTGATACCTCAAGCAGACAAAGTCAAATACCTTGATATGCACCTAGATCGAAGATTAACATGGAGAGACCATATATGGACAAAACAAAAACAACTTAACTTACAGGCAAGAAAATATTACTGGCTACTTGGGAGAAAATTCAAGCTAGCCATTAAAAATAAACTACTTATTTATAAAGTAATAATTAAACCAGTATGGACATACGGCATCCAACTCTGGGGCACTGCCACAAAATCAAACATAGACATAATAGAAAGATTCCAAAACAAAACACTACGTTACATCACAGATGCACCATGGTTTATTACAAATGAAAATATAAGAAAAGAAGTAAACATAACAACTGTACGTGAAGAAATCGAAACATTCAGAAGAAAATATACTAATAGAATTTTGGAACATCCTAATCAACTAGCAAAAAAGCTAATAACTACAACACCAATACTTTCAAGATTTAAAAAATATCAAACACTATTTGTATAGAAAAATTAAATGAACACATATAGGTACTGATCACTGGAGACGTGCCTACACGCAATTCAAATCAAAATTTGTGTTAAAAACATGTACTTATTGTCCACATAGGACAGATTGTAACATTTATTGGAATAAAAAAAAATAAAAATAAAACATGCAAGAGAAAAATAGGGAGAGAGAGAGACAGAGAGAGAGAGGACCCTGTAGACAGCATTATGCTAGTCAGTATGGGCACAGTGTAAATATATCTGCATATTATCTACATAAATCAAAGAATCAGCAGAGCGCAATATATTGGACAAGTCATTTATAAATATAGCAAACAATAGAGGGTCAAGGACACTGCTCTGAGGTACATCAGAGGAAATACTAAGACATTCGGAATTCATTCTACTGTTATTAACGTCTATTTACCAGATAGGAAAAAAGCAAATTCAAAATTATACTAGAGAAATTTAAAAACCACAGTTTTCTTATTAGGATGTTGTGAGGGATGGCATCGAAGGCCTTCGTAAAGTCGAATAAAATAAGTATAGTAAGATGTCTATTATCAACAGTGTATCGAATATTGTCTGTTAATCCTATAAGAGTCGTTTGCGTGATATGCAACCAGGATTTAATATATTGCTGCACTCGAGAAAAGTGGATAGTTGTACATATACTAGTCGTTCCAATGTTTTTGACAAAAAACTGAGTTTAGCGATTGCGTGTGTATTTGATAGCGAAAAGAGGTCCTAAACTTTAACAAGTAGATGAATTTCTATCCTTTTTCAGGAAGATGGAAAGCCGGATCGAATCGATGAATTAAATAATTATGTAAGATAAGGCGCTACTTCATAAGAAATTAACTTTAATATTTTTATAAGATGAAAAATACTGGCAAGTTGAAATATCTCTCTTAAGGGCTTGCTTAACCTCCCGAACAGGTACTATATTAAGGAAAAATGTAGGAAGATTAGTATGTCGAATTTAAGTTTCTATGATTGAATTGAAGTTAAAATGGGTCAGGGATAAATGATGATTTGAGACAGCTACATAGTGTCGATTTAATATGTCTTAATGAAAAAATAAGAAAGGGAAGTCAAAAGATGGCTTACTGACGCTCATAGAGCGAAGTTGCCTCCATTTGATTTTAGTTTCGTTCAAAGAATAGAGTTCATCTTTTATATAGTTATTTTTTAGAATGGAAAGTTGTAACAGAGATTGCAGGACTGTTAGTCTAACAGGACTTATAATGGAAATAGATCAAGGCATCAGTGGAACGCACGATATAAAAAAAATTCCAGTGCAGTCGAATCCAATTGAACACACTATTGTCGTTCAAGATGATGAGATAACCCCTGTTTATAGTGAAAATCCCTATGCGCCGCTACTCGTCACAAATGATGGAGTTTATCAAAAAAGAGATTGCGGATTGGCACACAAAAGAGCTGATTCGACCGTCGTTGAGCAAGTGGTATAGCACACCGACTGTTGTCAAAAAGCATGATGGTACCAACCGTCTGTGCATCGACTTGCGACCCGTGAATCGAACAAAGCGTATCGTCGTATATCCGATATCAGGTGTAAACCTGGTACTCGATAGGTTATATAAGCGCATACTTAAAGATACTCCTACCGAAAGAAACCAGGAAAAATACGGCTTTTGGAACGTCGGCGTGTAGCCTGTGGGAATGGAATTGGATGTATTCCGG